AACCAAACTCACTGCTATCAAGTCAGATCTGACTCACAGTGACCCCTCCTTGGGTTTCCAAGGCGGTATCACTATGGAAGTAGATTGCCTAATCTTCCTTCAGAGGAGTGGCTGGTGGGTTTGAACCGCCAGCCTTCTGGTTAGCAGTCAAATGCTTAGGCACTACGCCACCAGAGCTCCTATAAAAATGCAAAGTGGATGGTAAATTAAGTACATAGTTTGGTCAGAGAAATGGTGCGTTCAATGCTACAAACAACTGGTTGGAGTGGGGCTCCAACCAGTGTTTCCCAGTGGCCGCAGCTGGTCCTTTCATGCTAGACCCAAAGGCCTCTGCACCACAGGACAAATGACCAAATTAATGACACCCATTTTTCTGAGTCCTCCAGAGTAACAGTGCAGCGTGAAATGAGTCAAACTTCCCGACCTCACCTCTCTCCCTCCCTCTCACAAAGAGCATGAGAAAAGGCCTGAGCTCAGGCCTGGAGGCTTCTCAGGGACAAAGCACCACTGGCTTCTCTCTGCTGTTCTCAGAGGTGTTCAGTGTTTTCATCAGCCCTAGGTTCTCACATGTATCCCACCTTCGAGCAAATCTTGCACTTCCCTCTCAGTTCAAAGTTTCTACTTCTCAGCTTAACTGAGCCTTCCATGGTGGTTATGGCTGAACTGTGTCCCCCCAAAAGATATGCAGAAGTCCTAACCCCTGCATTTGTGAATATGACTTTATTTGGAAATAAGATTTTGCTTCTTTATTAGTTAAATTAAATGATGTCACATTGGAACAGAAAAAACAAACAAACTCACTGCTACCCGGTCAATTCTGACTCATAGCAACCCCCCATAGGTCTCCAGGGCTGTAAATCTTTATGGAACTAGATTGCCCCATCTTCCTTCTGTGGAGCAGTTGGTGGGTTTCAACCTCTGACATTCTGGTTAGCAGCCTTATCCATTATGCCACCAGAGCTCCTTAGATTGGAGCAAGGTTGGTCCTAATATTAATTCCTTCTGAGTGGTGTCTTACAGAAAGGGAAAACAGACAAAAGAGTCACACACAGAGGAAGACAGATATCATGTGATGACAAAAGCCCAGAAGCCACTAGAAACTAAAAGAGAGACACAGAACAGTTCCTCTCTCTGAAGCCACAGAAGGAATAGACATGGGTGATAGCCTGATTTGGATTTTTAGGCTCCAGAACCACAAGGCAATAAATTTCTGTTCTTTAAAGCCACCACCCACTTTGTGGTGCTTTATATGGTAACACTAGGAGACTAAGATAACAGAGCAGCCTTCCTTGACTTGTATACCCCCTTGGCCAAATCAACTTTCCCACTTACATGGTCTGCCAGCATCCTTAACTTTTTCTCCACAGTTCCCATCACAATCTAGGACTGTGTGTTTATTTGTGTGATAGTTTAGGGCTGCCACATACAGTTGTACAAACCATGCACTGCACAAGGGGCCAGTGAGGGTAGAAGTCAGCTGGGCTCTGGTGTACCAGGCTACAAGCCAGGGTCGCAGCTCCAGTTGACAGCTGCAGACTGTATTCTATCATCTAATCGGTGCCTGTACTGGTCTTGGGCACAGGGGACAGAGGTGACATGACTAAGTCTGAATAATGCTAGAAGCACATGGCCTGGCAGGGGCCTAATGCACATACAGAGATTAAAACATGCCAAGATAAAGTGCTGAATTGGTAAATGTTGTGTTATATATATACATATACATATACATACATACATATATAAAAAACCAAACCTAAGCCATGGAGTCAATTCTAACTCATAGCAACCCCCATTGGGTTTCTAAGGCATAAATCTTGCCGGAAGTAGATTGCCCAGTCTTGCTTCCATGGAGTGGCTGGTGGGTTTGAACCAACCTTCTGGTTAGCAGTCAGATGCCTAAGACACTGTGCTACCAGAGCTCCATAAATCAGAATCAGGAAGGGAGTGCATCAGGGTTGTATCCTTTTATCATACTTATTCAATCTGTATGCTGAGCAAATAATCTGAGAAGGTGGACTACATGAAGAAGAGTGCGGCATCAGGGGTGGAGGAAGACTCATTTACAACCCACTGTGATATGCAGATGACACAGCTTTGCTTGCTGAAAATGAAGGTGACTTGAAGCACTTACTGATGAAGATCAAAGACGACAGTCTTCAGCATCGATTACATCTCAAAATAAAAAAAATTAAAATCCTCACAACTGGACCAATAAGCAACATCATGATAAATGGAGAAAGACTGAAGTTGTCAGGGATTTCATTTTACTTGGATCCACAATCAACACCTATGAAATCAGCAGTCAAGAAATCAGATGTCATACTTTACTAGGCAAATCTGCTGCAAAAGGCCTCTTTATAAAGTGTTGAGAAGTGAGGACATCACTTTGAAGACTAAGGTGTGCCTGATCTGAGCCATGGTATTTTCTATCACCTCATATACATTTGAAAGCTGGACAATAAATAAAGACGACTGAAGAAGAGTGATGCTTTTGAACTGGGGTGTTGGTAAAGAATACTGAAAATACCGTGGACTGCCAGAAGAATGAACAAATCTGTCCTGGAAGAACAGGTATGCCCCTTGGAAGCAAGAATGGCCAGACTGTGTCTCACCTACTTTGGTCATATTGTCAGAAGGGACCATGCTCTGGAGAAGGATATCATGCTTGGAAAGAAGAGGGTCAGTGTAAAAGGGGAAGACCTTCAATGAGATGGATTGACACAATGGCTGCAACGATGGGCTCAAGTATAACAAGGATTGTGAGGATGGTGCAGGACTGGGCAATGTTTCATTCTGTTGTACATAAGGTTGCTATGAGTCGGAGTTGACTCTATAGCACCTCACAACAACAACGCTGATGACCTATTTGTTGGATGTGGTTGATAAGGGAGTGAGTATCCCAGCTGGAGAGACAGGGCACATTGCTATGCAGAAAAGGGAGCACACAGGTGACAAGTTCCTTCTTTGAGATACCAAGATGCCCATGGGACATTCCTGTGGAATTCTATAGCTAGTAGCAGGAAACAGAGATCTAACTCCCAGAATCTGCCCACCATGTACACCTGAGTCTGAAGAGCAGACCATGACAGTTGTCCAACACGTATGGATCAGCGCACTTGGCATTCTGCATTGGTGGGAAACAGGGGCTCCAATGGGAAGGGTGCTCCTGTCCCCTGAACTAAAATTCCAAGTAGTGTGACAGAAAGGAAATGAAAACTCTTTGGTCTTTGCAACTGACCCTGTTTCTCTCATCTACAATTTCCAGCTGTTTAGAAAGAAAGATAGATCAATAGACTGAAATCAAATGAATGGTAGCTTTGGCCTCTGGTTCATTTTAACTCAAAATCTGCATTTTATCTGATGATAGAGCATAGACTTGAAACTAATCAAAGAGTTCCAAGTATGAAAGAATAAAATCCATTTATGTGTTAAAGTTTCAAGTACAATTCCCCCTGACATATTCAGATCTTTCTGAATAGTATTTTTTTAAATAATAACTCGGATCCTTTTTAAAAGAAAACCCTGTAGAGTACTTAGTAGAAGAAAACTGTAAAAGAAAAAATGAAAACGGACCAGTCCATTCTCATGGCACCCTGGGAAAAGCACGCCCTCAAGAGACAGAAGAGAGAAAATGTTTCATATCTTCTTTTGCACTCAATTCTCCTTATTTCTCTTAAAATCCAGGCAAGAACTGCTCCTCAAATTCTGAACATCCACCTGCAATGTGCAGTCAGCACAGAGCTCCCAACCTCCAGGTCACAATGGTGGCAAGGAGCAGAGCAACATTTACAGGAACAAGGTGGGTATGAGGAACGTACTTGTCCTTGGCCCAGTGATCACATGCTTTCCCAGCCTTCCTAGCCTCACCTGTTCTCAGTCTCACCTGCCTCTCTGCCTGACCTGCCTCTTAGCTTCACTTGTTTCTTAGCTTCACCTGCCTCCTCAGCCTCACCTACCTCCTAGCCTCCCCAGTCTCATTCATTTTCAACTCCATCTGTCTCCCAACCTTGATTGCCTCCCTAACCTCACCTACCTCCCCATACTCTTGACCAAGAAAAGAGTTAGGCAAGTACAGAGCCTGACACAAGGTAAGGGCAACACCTACTCCAATGAGCAAGGTGAACCCAACCCTCTGGAGCCCCTGGTTCTTCATCTTCCTTTAGGAGATTCCTTTCAAAGGAAAGGAAAATACCTCACACACACGATGTCAAAACCAGAACATTAGCCTGTGTCCTGAGAGAGCCAGAATTCATGAACAAATATCACCAGCAGTAGAGTAGTACTTGATATTTTTAGCTACGTATTAAAAAAAACTCACTGCCATCGAGTTGATTCTGACTCATAGTGACCCCCTTTGGGTTTCTGAGGCAGTAAATCTTTATGGAAATAGATTGCCCAGTGTATACCAGGGTTTTATAAGAATTTTGAAACTTCTAATTCTCTTTGACCCTGGGACATCACTTTAGGTAACAGGCCCTAAATAAGTCAAATGTAACTTATACAAAAGTAACTATAGCAGCACTATTTTTAAGTACCTAGAACACTAGTAAATATTCAATAAATATTTGTTGATTGAATGAATAAATAAAAGTGAAAACAAAACAAATGGTCAGCAGTAACAATAATTAAGCAAATTACCCTTTAGTAACATAAAGAATAATTAGTCCAGAGGCATTGAGAATGGCAGGAAAGTCTCTGTTTTTACATAAAGATATATATAAAACATTTTTTTAATGAAAAAGACAGAGACAAAATAATACACTAATTTCCTAAATATGCAAATAAATTATACGGATAACTACATGAGAATGGGAGCTAATGGGTAGTCAATCCAATATATATTGCATTTTTCATCAGCACAAATGCATAATAAAATTGATAATCCTAACTCAAATGAATAAAAGCAGGTACAAAATTTTTCTCTCAGTATACTATTCAGTGGTTCACACAGTACATGTAAACCGCAGGGAAGAAAAACAAAGATAGAGGGGCAGGCTGACCTGTAGAGGGGTTGGGGAGCTGCCTGGTGTAGGACACGTTGAATGCAGGCTCCTCGATGAGTGGTGGGGGGTACATCCGCCTCCGGATGAAGAAGCCAGCGCCACAGCAGAAGAGTACGCCCATCATCAAGAGGAACCTTAAGAAGAACAAAGATGTGAGAGGGGCACAGAGCTGACAGGAGGTCAGACAAGCAGAGGCCCAAAGAATCTGGCCTGGTGACTGAAAGCCCATGTGGAACCCTCAGGAGCTCCATGAATACAGGCCCTGCAAATACTGACTCCTGAAGGGATAGATAAGAGGATAAGACTTGTGATTAATTTTTATGTATTAACTTGGCTACTATGCTAGGATTTCCAGTGGTTTGGCCAAACATTAGTATAGCTGCCGTTCCATAATATAATCTAATGGAATAGATGTCATTATGTAATCAATCAGATGAAAGGGGAATTTCCTTAGGGTGCTATCTGTATAGCGCCCAGAGTATAGATAGATATTTTGGCAGAACTCTTTCTCAACTCTGCACTGTTCCCATCACCTGAACTATATACATCTGGGGATGCAAGCCTGTGAGTCTCCAGCCTGCTGCCTGTCCTATGAATTTTGAACTTGTCAACCCCCTACAACCCTGTGCGCCAGTAGAGGTCTCCAGCCTGCTGCCTGACCTACAGATTGGGGACTTGGCCCACAGTGGTATAAGCCAGTTCTTTGAAGTAAATCTCAATCTCTATCTCTCTATCTCTCCCTCTCTCCCTCTCTCTCTCTCTCTATATATGTATGTATTTATATATCCCAGTGGCTTTATTTCTCTAGAGAATCCTAAGATAGGGCTTGACCTCGAGGTTGAGTGTATGCTTTGCAGACTTGGCCCTTCATCTACCATTTTGCCCAGGAGGCAGATACTTGGTCTACAGACTTCTTGATGGAAGCCACTCCCTAAAGAGAAGATCAATAAATAAGCTCTTTGCATCAAAATAGTGGGTTTCAAAGGGCTGGTACAATCACTTCCCTGACCATAGCTCTGACATGAACTCAGTATTTTGGCCAAAACAGAACACTGTTTAAACTCTGTTTGAACACTATGGCTGGTCCAGCCCTTGCCTTGCCTTCCATTTCCCCAATTATCCCTTCTTCACTGTCAAAGCAACAAGAGACACATTATGCCTCCTCATAACTGTCTCTCCATTATTATATGAACACACATAAAGAAATAAAAATATCCTTCTTAGAGCATGCCTCATTTATAGAGAAATGACATGGATAAAGAGAGGAAATATTTACAATCAATAAAAAGGCTGCAGATTTAGAAATCTCTAGTTTTTAAGTATGGCTAAATGTATACCTTCCTCTTTCTTCACTGTGATCCTAAAGTCTAACAAACATTAGAGGTGATGCTTCAAGGATAGGACCTTTACTTAATTCACCTAAGAATTCTCAGTGACTACTGCATAACTGGCATTCAATAAATGATTGCTAAATGAATAAACTGTCTCTTCCCATCTCACATTTGCACTAATCTTTTGTTTCTACAAAAAGGGAAGGGTCAATCTGAAAAGGGTCAAGTTGGTTGTCTGGCATAACGGGAAGCTTTTGCCCAGCTCTGAATTGGAGTTATTATGGGACTCATGGAAGACTCCCAGAGCCTCACACAAAATACCCACAGTGTGGGTTGCACACTGTGTTGTGAACCATGAGCATACACCACAGCTGCATGTCTCATGATTAAAGGCACCTGCACACATGTGGAAAAAAAAAAAGAAGGAAAAAGTGGATGATAAAGCTCTCGAGAATATTCAAATTTCAATTCATTACCAAGGTAACTGCAAGTCCATCAGTCATCAATAAGTATTTACTGAAAACTGCTGAAATGTTGAGCAGGAAGAAAGATCAGAGGCACAAGAAAGGAAATTAACTCAGTAAAAGACTGAAAGCATAGCCCTTCTGGACTAGTTCATTATTTATTCAAGTGATTTGAAGATATTTGGTAAGCTCCCAGCACCAGGCTGTGCATCAGAGTGGTAAGGCAAGTGAGCCCCTCTCCCTAAGCAAAATTAGAGACTAGTGAGGAGACAGACCATAATCAACAAACCTACACAATTAAGTATTTATTTACAACTCTAATCAGTGCTAAGAAAGAAAAGTGAGGAGTGCAAGAAGAGGCTTTAAATAGAGTATCAGTCACAGTGAGTGTGAGATGCATAAAGCAACTCAGCCTTTTGTTCTGGGTTTCTAAGAGTCAGAACACCCTGAGACTAATGAATGGGGACTGATCTAAAAGGGACTAAAAGGGACAACCTAGTGACCTGACACTGACTAACTTTACTACATGTGATGTAATTTATCATGACCATATAGGGAGGCCGGTAAGAGCACTGAGCCCTAAGGCTCAGATGGACCTTGTTGATAAGAATGAACATCTACTTTTGGACAGACAGCATGTCCCCTTGGGAAATGGAAGCTCCAAGTTGGGACCTCTCCTGAACCTTGCCCTATGCATCCTTCATCTGTAACTTTTGCTACATTAAAACAGTTATCACAGTTATGGTATTTCATATGAGCTTTGTGACTCATTCCAGTGAATTACAGGACCCAAAGGAGTAGTGGGGCTGCCTGGAGGGAGTTATGTGTATCCTAAGCTTGCAACTGGTACCCTGAGAGGGTAGAGAAAAGGCCCAAATTTGGGGCTGATTGGTCTGAAATGAGAGAATCATATGGACACCCAACCTGCTGACCCAAACCTGAGTGGCTACAAATGAGAGACAGAATGGCTGCATGGGCAGCTGGGGTCTGAACTGCACAGGGAAGAGAAGGTGAGGTTTCTACAGGACACAGTGGGTTTGTTATCCTGAACACAATTTGGCACCAGAAGTGGGTGATCTTAGTCTCCCTGGACTGGTTGTATAATTGGTATAGTCGGCAGGATTCACCATAGCAACGCTGCCAGCTCTGCGAAGAAGATCAGAAAAGCTTCTTTGCCTTCAAAGTGACACACGGACAGAGTGCTATAGGACAAGAAGACAGAGAAGTTGAAGGGGAAAGAAGAACATTCTGGGTGGGAAATAGCATAGGTGAAGATGCTAAGGTAGGTAAGTTGGAGGCAAATTTTGTGTGGCTTGAGTCCGGAGGGGGAAGAAGTTAGGCATATAATCTCGGGAAGCCAGAAGGTCATGATCATATAGGGGCTTGGCAAAGTAAGGCAACTCTCAGCATTACACATGCTGAAATCACAAAAAGAATAGTTTGATCTCTTAGAACTAATTTCCCTAGGGTGGACTCAATGATAATCTCACATTCAACACTGCGCCCAATGACAAACATTCTAGTAGAAATAGAAAGCATTGAGAGGCTTTCTCAAACAATGCTACTGGTTAGTCCAGGTACACTGGACTGGAAAAGGCAGAAGCTATCTGAGATCTTGGTCCCATCCTCAAGTTGAGCCAAAACGTTGGTTTACACCAAATGGTACTTTTTTTCTTTTGTTGTTGTTATGTGCCATGAAGTCAGACCCAACTCATAACAACCCCTCCTTGGGTTTCCGAGGCAGTATCACTATGAAGTAGATTGCCCAACCTTCCCTCCAAGGAGTGGCTCATGGGTTTGAACCACCAGCCTTCTGGTTAGCAGTCAAGCGCCTTACACACTATACTACCAGAGCTCCTACTTTTTTTCTTGGACAAATCAAAATGGCATCACTGAAGCACAGAGGAGGGCTCCATGTGGGTACCTGCCTTTAGCCCAACAGAGAGTAAATGAAGACAAAGCAGTCGCCTGGCAGGATACCAACTATCTGCTTAGGTATTAGTCATCAGATTCATTCATTACTGAGGTATTAGTCTGAGACGAATGTATTTTAAAAGAGAGGAACTGACAGGGGAGGGGAATAAACTTATTACAAGAAAAGTGAGGATGTGGTTTATCAGTTCAAAGAGAAGTGGTTGTTAATAAGAACAGTAATTGCTTGAACACGTTATCAGTAGGGGCCAGTTTCAGGAAAAGGACATCATGTTTGGTAAAAGAAGGTCAATGAAAAAGACGAAGACCCTCAGTGAGATGGACTCACACAATGGCTGTTAATGATGAGCACAAACATAGCAAAAACTGTGAGGATGGTACATGACTGGGCAGTGTTTTCTTCTGTTGTGCATACTGTTCCTAGGAGTTGGGACCGACCTGGCAACTAACAACAAGTTCCTTGAAGGGCTATGAGCTATAAGATGATACTAGATGTTCTTGTTCACTGCTGAGTAGGTTTGGGAAGCTTTCTAGGGATTAAAAGATACAAATATTTGTGCTTAGTCTATCATCAGAAGTAATTTGTTGCTGTTGTTGTTAATGTAATCTGGGTTTTCAATTCTCTCCTGCCTTACCCCTAAGGTAAGTACAGTTGTTCTCAACTCAGAGCACATCCAGTCACCTGTGGATGGGACTCTCTCAGAGGTCGCTGCTAGCTGGAAAGCTGTGAGTAATCGTTAACTGAGAAGGCCAGCTACTCTCCAATCTGAGTACAAATACCAGGAATAAAAGGGGTGAACCTGGAGCCCCTCAGAGAGAGCCGTAGACACATGGGAGACTGAATGAAGCCTGGCATGGCTAAGCAACGTGCTAGAGCCCACACTTAAGATTCCTCTTTTCCAGGCCTGCGGTACTTTAACAATAGATCCCCAAATGAGTTGTTGATTTTAAGTAAACCTTTTCCCACACATGCTCTGTCATCCCTGACATCTGACCTCGTATCTATTAACTATAGAGTCAAATCAGTTTTAGAGAGAACCCCCAATAGGTCTCCTCTGAGGTCACAATCCACATGAAGTTTCTCTCTTTAGTGCAAATTGCATCCCACACTTCTTTGGGGACTCTGTCTGCTTTGTGCCCTTGTGGCCTCTCAAGGTATAATTTTATAGACCTCAGACAATTCATCAGCCTCCCTTGGTGTCAGAAGGAGGTAGACAAAGGGTGAAGCTGCCTACTTAACTAGAAAGTTAAGATTCAGCTAACACGATGGCATGGGAAGACTTCCAGGCAAGAGAAATTTTATCACAAGTCTGCATTTGCTGGACTCTGATTTTCAAGACAGTTGGGTCAGCTCCATTTTGGAATCTAGTTAAAGAGCTAATAAAGGAAGAGGCCATTGTCTACCCACTACCTTTCCAAAAGGTATCTCTCTCTCCCAGCCCTAAGTCTGGGGAAATGAGGATGACCTCACTGTAAAAGGCACAGTTGCCCTTGATGAAGCCAACCCAAATATGCCATTTTCATGACCAAAGCTACCCCCAAGACTATGATTCCAGTTAGTCCATCTGCCATTAGTGACAGTATGGAGTGCAGGAAGAGCCCTTGGGGGACAGGGGTAGGTGGAGATGGCATCCAGGAACAAGAAGTGTTGGGACATACCAGAAATACCAGAGCCTCTGGATGGAGAGCGCCCGCACACAACATCGTGAGCCGCAGCAGTCCTCATAGGAGCGGCATCTGTGGAGAGAGAGCACAGGGGGTCACTAATCTGAGTTGGAAGAACAGCTGGACCAGTTATGTGCTCCAGCTAGATTTCAACTGAGTCATTCATAAACCAATTGCTATCAAGTCAACTCTGATTCCCGGCAACCCCATGTGGTTTACCTGATCTCTCTCATGTGTGTCAGAGTAGAACTGTGCTCTATATGGTTTTCAATGTCTGTTATTTGGAAGTAGATCACCAGGCATTTCTTCTGAGGAGCCCCTGAGTAAACTCAAACTTATAAATTTTGGTTAGCAGGCAAGTGTGTTAACTATTTGTACTACCCGGGGACTCCATTCTTAGAGGCAAGTGGGTAGGGGTGTGTGCTAATGAAGAGGACAGAACTGCTACCTTTGCAGTCCATGAACCTAGCAGAGCTGACTATTGTCAATTTCGTGGTCCAAACAGAAGGAGCTTATGTGGATATGGTCAATATAATTCAAATACCCTTTGTGTGCCAATTCTGCAATGGGCTTCTTCCTAAAGGGGCATCATGACCAAAGAAGAGCATTAAACTTGTCAGTTCTACAACCAAAAGGAAGCCCCATGACAGGCACATCAGTACAACACTGATCCTTGCTTAGTCTCTCTTTAAACCCCTACCATGGTCAAAAGATGGATATGCCACATCAGCAAGTCCACCAGGGTCAAATTGATAGTGGTGGTGGCCTGGTGGCTTGTGTCCTTCTCTCATCTCTCATTAGCTGTGGGATTCAATACACTGTGAACTGCAGTTTTCCTGCACGCAAATGGAAGTAATGGCAGGATCCCCTTCCACAGTGCTATTTCATATTTTGAGGATACTGTTATTGATTGAATCACGTCCCCCAAAAATGTATGTTGAAAATCATGACCTCTATGTCCATGCTTATAATCCCATTTGGGAATGGACTGTCTTTGTTATGGTAATGAGAAAGGATTAGTATAGGGTATGTCTTGAGTCAATCTCTTTTGAGATATAAAAGAGGTTAAAATAAGCAAGCAAGAAATCAGGGATGGGGGAAGAGAGATGCCAAGCCACATGAAGATCACCAGGAGCAGAAGCTCAAAGAGACAAGGGCCTTTCTCCAGAGCCAAAAGAGAGAAAAAGCCTTGAATGTAGACTTCCAGCCTTCTGAGCTATGAGGAAATAAATCTGTTTGTTAAAGCCACCCACTTGTGGTATGTCTGTTATAGCAGTACTAGATAACTAAGACAGACATCATCCTTCTTATTGCTTATGCTGGCCCCCTCTTCAACACACTCCAGGGTCACTGGAGGCTTCAGGGTCCCCCGTAGGAGACAGGCTCACATGGATGTACTCAGGAGTTGCTGATCATTCACAGGAGCCGGGTAAGAAGAGTCCACACCCAGTGTGGGACCTAGTGCAGGTCAGAAGACTCAACTCAGCTCCCAATGTTTCTGCTCTTCCCCAACCCTATTTTCCTTTGAAAAGAGAAAATGCTACGGATGCTCAAGCCCTTTTGCTCCAAACTTTGGTATTTACAGAGCAGTTTCCACTATAGCAGCTTTCAGTTCACGTGGCAGGTGAATGGGGGTGGGGGGGGCGGTGCAGGCTGCTTCTCAGTTATATTAAATGGTCACATAATTCTAATTGAGGTCATTGCCAATTTTCTTCCTCAAGGGAAAAAAAATAAAGAAGTCTAAATTTAAAAAAAAAAAAGAATTATAATGTTTGATCCAACATCTTGGGCACTGAATTTATAGATTATTCCAGTGCATAAATAGGTTTGCATAAATAGGCTTGTTTTATGCAGAAAGATGTATAAAAAATAACTCCCTGGAAAGTATTAGGAAGAAGACTGGAAAGATCACCAGGCTGGAAATCAGCTGGAGCTCCAATCCTGGTTCTCCTGGTGGTTCACCCCCGGCAACTCACTAAGCCTCTTGGACTTGGTTCTACCTGTCTTTAAATACCCACTACACAGTTTCAGCTAAATCCCCTATTATTTATAGGACATACTGAGCTGAGAGACACCTCCTACTACCACCACCACATACATAAACAAAGCATTTCTCCAGGCAATATGAATGTTTTTTCATCCAAGCTTTCCACGGCTCATGAATATGAACTTGTCCCTAGGTGGTGGAAACATTTAATGCCTCAGCTACTAACTGAGAAATTGGTGGTTCAAGTCCACCCAAAGGGCACCTCAGAAGAAAGGCCTGGAGATCTACTTTCAAAAAATTAGCCACTGAAAACACGATGGGACACAGTTTTACTGTAACACATGGGGTCTCCATGAATCAAAGTCAACTCAATAGCAACCAGCTTACCTGGTATCCTACACAGTAAAGATATCAGTTAGAGGCTCCCATAAGCTAGTGGCATTTGTCTAATTTGCTTTAACCAAGATTTAGCACAGCCACATAGCTGAAAAACGCTGCCAGCTGTCATAGTCCATCTATCCAACAAACCCAACAAAGGGGCTACAAGGAGCTTGGCTCTGCACTGGGTCCTGGGGATGAAGTGATCAAAACCAGATGGAGGAGCTCTCTTTTTAGAGGAGGCGTAAAATAAAAAAAATTAAAAAAAAAACCACATAAGAACAATGGAAGCTGTGCTGGCTGGAAAGAAGTTCTAAGATGAAAAATAAAGCAGGCACTGTCAGATGGAGAACATGGGGGAGGGATGGTAAGAAATATAATTTTAAACAGGGTATTCAGACATAACTCCCAGAGAAGGTGACATTTGTAAGCAGAGACCTGAAGGAAGTCAGTGAACCCTGAAGAAAGTCAGTCTGGCAACTACCTGAATCGGCACAAGGTCCCAAGGTTCGTGCCAGAGTGCTGGTTCCAGAGCAGCTAGTGCTGCAAGTCCCCCCAGGCCCCAGAGCTGCACTTTTGAAAAGAGTGGTTAAGGATAGGAGGTAAGAGAAAATGACTGCCCAGTGTAGGGGACCCCACTGACTCTGGGCTACGCAAACAGACTGTCTGAGGAAACAGTACAAGAACATCCTCAACAGCAATCCCTTGGTGTGCCTCCTCCTGGAGAATATTAATGGTCTTGAATAACTGGTATTCATGTGTGTGAACATGTAGAGGGAGGGAGGGAGATAAAAGGATTTCTTGCTTTTAGGGTTGATGGAGTCCAGACAAGATGTCTAAGTGCTGTAAATGGTTTACACCCATCTACTAACCTAAAGTTTGGTGGTTCGAACCCACCCAGCAGTGCCATGAACCAAAGCCTAGAAATCTGCTTTTGTAAGGATTACAGATGAGGGAAAAAATAAATAAATAACTCATGAAGCAGTAACACATGTGTCACCAAGAGTCATAATCAACAGCAATGGGTTTTTGGTTGGAGTTCAGGCAATTAACGAAAATGGAAATAAATGGGACTGTCTCCTACCATGAATTGGCAAAGACAAGGATATTTAGCACTTCTGTTACATTCATGGTGTGATGATGTGGTTGGTGGATTCTGAGATCGGCCCCAAGTTCCTGTTCCCTGGTAAACAAACCCTGTAAAAATCCCCTCCTCTTGAGTGGGATGGTGGCTCCTTTGATTAGATTAGATTATATGGCAAAGATAATGGGCTATTCATTCCAATGATTATGTAACATTATATGAGGTGTTATGTTAATAAAACTCTGCCACAGCAAACTAGAGATTCTCTGTTGGCTTTGAAGAGTTAACTGCCATCTTGTGAGAGGGCCCCATGGCTAGGACCTGATGGTGATCTCTAGGAGCTGGGCATGATCCCCAGCCCATCAACAAGGGCACAGAGATCTCAATCCTACAACCACAAGGAACAGAATTCTGCCAACAATCTGAATGAGCTTGGAAGAGAACCTCAAGCGCCACATGCAAACAGAGCTCAACCAACACCTGGTTTTAGCCTTATGAGACCCTGACCAGAGTACCCTGTGTCTAGATACCTGACCTAATTTGTTAAGTCTGTGGTAATTTGTTATGCAGCAATAATGCAGATAAGAACAAAGGGTGCAGGATATAAGCACTTCTTACATTTTGGACACCAGGTGAAGTGCTTCACAAATGTCTCATTAATATTCAAAGCATCCTTATAGGAGGTAAGTAATGTTACCTCCATGTCTGAAATAAGCTTAGAAAATAAGACATCTGGGATGCTGTGCCTTGTCTCAGCCCAGGTCAGTCTGCTGAAGCTGAGAATGTACTCAGCCAGCATACTGTCACCTTTTCCATCCCCACTTGATTGTCCTATTTTTTCCTTGGTCCTGCTTTAATAAGCTGCTATAGGCCAATCAAGGACCTCTAGTGGTACAGTGGTTAAAGCATTCAACTGCTAACCAAAACGTCAATGGGTCAAACCCACCAGCTGCTTTGTGGGAGAAAGATGAGGAAGTCTGCTTCCTAAAAGATCTGCAGCCTTGAAAACTCTATGGGGCAGTTCTACTCTGTCCTACAGGGTTACTACGAATCAGAATCAACTCAGTGGCAGTGGATGTGGGTTTGGTGAGTTGTAACAATCTGCTAATGGTGTGTTGTGATTGTACTCATTAGCACTGAGTGATCAGTGTAAGACCTCTATATAACAATTTGGCTTATGTTAATGAACTGGAAAAGACAAAGAGATACAAGGTAGTGAAGGAATGACTAAACAACAGAGAGGCTGACAGTGGAGGAAGGTGAAGATTAATGTGTACAGGAACCTTTCTCACAAGGCAAATCAAGCTTAGAGAAGCATGGGGGTGGGGAATCTGATACAAAGACAAGTCTGAGTCCAACAAAAGGCACTTTGGAAGAAAGGCCTAGCAATCTACTTGTGAAAAAATCAATCATTGAAAACTCTATGGAGTACAGTTCTACTGTGACATACATGGGGTTGTCATGAGTTGTAATCACCTCAATGCTCAATGACAACCTTTTTTTTTTTTTTTAATGGCAACAGTGACAATATGAGGAATGCATAGTGATCCTTGGGCAAATGGTAGGGCTGGCTCTGTGGGGGGAAACCAGTTTGGTAGGCACTGTGTAACTTTCCTCCTCCTC